TCTTTTGTTATTGTTCTTGAAGAAACGCAGGACGCAGTCGGTCGATGTTGACGAAATCTTCTCCCGTTTCAAGCTTGACAAGGAAAGATTTTGGTGAACGTGATACAACTTCGAAAGGACCAGTGAACTTTTGCTTGAGTCCGGGTTGGACTTTGTCAACCCTGACGAATACATGTTTACAAGAAAACAATTCTTTAGGTACGAAAGTTTTAACAACACTCGGCTGATGCCATTCTTCTTTCGGTGGGACTTGGTTTTTAATAGCTTGCATTAGTGATGAAGCAAAGACAGATGTTGATGATTCCGAAGGAGACTGCCTGATTTCTCCAGGAAACTTCGTCTTCTCTCCGAAAACAATCTCTGACGGAGAAACACCGGAGTCTGTGTTTGGAGAATTTCGCAGTGATAGAAGTGCCCACGGAAGCTCATCTACCCAGTTTGTACGACCATTTAGCCTGGAACGAATGGAATTTTTGAGAGTTCGATGTAGTCGTTCCACCTTCCCGTTGTGTTTAGGATTGTAGGCCGTGTGAGGTTGTGGGTGATGGAGAGCGATGACATTGTAGATGACCAAAGACGGCTAACAAATTGGCTGCCTCTGTCCGAAGTAACAGATGATGGGGTACCAAATGTTGAACACCAACGTAGGAAGTGACGTGAGCATGCCTCGGCGTTGGACCCCAAACCTTTCTGATCCATGGGATAAGCCTCCATATAGCCCGACCACCTGTCGATTATCGTAAACAGATAATTTTTGCCACGATGTGGTGGGTTAATGGGGCCAACGATATCAACATTTAAATCGCTAAACCTGCTCGATGGAAGTGGAATCGAACCTATAGGTGACTTTGTATGACGGTGAACCTTGTTCATTTGACACGAAATACATGATTTTGTCCATAACGAAATTTCTTTCCTCATGTTTGGCCAATAGTGCCCCTTTGAAATCATCTTATATGTTGCCTTATTTCCAGGATGACCAACTTCATGGAAAACTCGGAAAATCACGCTCTGGAGGGATGTCGGAACAAGAATTTTAGGAGAACTGGATGACATCTGACACCAAACTTCTTTATCACCAAAGTCAACCAGGGCTGGACGATAACCTGAATCTTTTTTTTTATGATTCGAAATCCACGATTGTAACTGTAAATCCACATCCTGAGCTAACCTTATTTCCTTACTTGTAGGGCCTGAAGAAACAGCAGCAACGATGGAATCTTCTGATGAGTCGTCATGATCAGCATACTCGTCTACCAACATCTCTTTCGACTGAATCCTCGAAAAAGCATCAGCTAACGTGTTACAATCACCTGATTGATATAGAACTTTGTCTGTAATTTGCGAGATTTTTGCCAAGTGCCTTCTCTGAAGTGGTGAGAAACTGT